AAAAAAACAACTACAAGCTTCCTTTTCTCTCATCCACATGCCATCATGAGCCTAGGAGGTGAGAGGCTGGGCAGGTGGGCACAGTTTGTGGCCCAGCTGAGAGCCGGTATGAGTTTCCTGCAGAGGGAAAGAACTGAGGAGTGAGGAACCAGGAACTCTTACAAACTTCCCTCCTGATTTAGAACTGAAAATGGAAGTGGAGCGATTGCACCAAAGATCCATTTGTTCTGAACAGATTTCAAAGTCCATGACGGTGTTCTAACAAAAAGTTGGGTAACAAATTGCACAGAAAATGTACTAACCACTCCTGCCGTCCATAAATGACACTCACGTGGCTGGGACTCCAGGGCTGCTCCTCTCCTCACGAGCTATATATACATCTACCTTTCTGGTGGATTCCATGGAATCCCCTAAGGTACTTACTATGAAGCCAAGATCAGAGATCGTGGTAGAGCTGAGTGGGTTTCTGGTGATATGTCATGGGGTGGGGGACAGACAGGTAAAGGGAACATTTCAGGACCCCAGGATCACGCAGGCTCTCCACCTCCTCATGTCTGCCCCAGGTTTTTTCCTGAGACATTAATCAGGATTCTGGGGAAGAGCAAACTATGTTTTTCAGCTGAGGAATTGTGTGTATGTGCATAGCAAGGCTCTGAAGCCCCATAGCTCACCTGCCCCTGAGCACTTTGCTTTGGGGGGTGGGGCATGAGCATGAGCAGGGGAATTGGTCTCAGTTTATCCTGTTCTGTCTCCTGCCTACCTCCTTAGGGTAAGTTTTGTTGTGGCCAGTCCCTGCCCTCCCACAGGATAGAAATGACCTGAAGGAAATGAGGCCTTTTTTTCTTCCAAAGACTTCTGTGGGTACTGAGTGGGCTTGAGAGGGGACAGAGCAGCCTGAACTCTTGGGCCTCAAATGCCAACTAGGTGAGGAGAGCTGGCGTTGGGAGGCGCTCTCAGCCTTGTATGTGGCCCTACAGCCCTCAGCCTACATTTTTTTTCTTTTTCTAATTTGAGTCCAGGCCACCACTGCCTTAGCCAGAATCAGTAAAGAGGCCTGGAAGGTGACTGGATCCAGTATAGGCCTGCTCCAGGTCAGTTCTGAACTGCTCTTCTCTGGGGCCAGACACCTCAGCCTTACCTGTGTCCCCAAGAACTGGAATGCTTGCTGCCCCTCAGTCTGCTCATCCCTTGAGGGACATTGACGTCTCCTGGGCATGACTTCCTTGATCACTCATCCAGGAGGCCAACGCAGACTGGGGGATGCTTGCCAAGCCTGTACAGGGTGTGCCATGGCCTCGAGGAAAGCATGAAGCACATAAGTTTGTTGTCCACCACTGCCCACCGCCATCGCCCATGGGTCTGCCCTTCAGAGATGGGCTAATGGCCTGACCCCACCCCCATATCTTTGGTACAGAATGACCCAGCCTTGTTGTGTGAGGGCCTAAAGTTATGCTGGAAGTTTAAATTACTGTGCTTAAGAGATCTATAAAACAAAAATGTCTGTAAGCCCTGCTTGCCCGAGGACAGACAACTCCCTGGAATGCTGGGGGCTGCTGTTCACGTAAGAGAACAAACCACGTGTTTCCATTCCTGCAAATGAGGCTGGCTGCCCCATCTGCACAGGATGTGCTTGATCACATGTAGGCAGGAGGTACCTCAGGATGGATGCTTGCCCCCCTGATCGGTCGAAGGCAGGAAGTGGGTAGCCTTGTGCACCTAACATAATTGGCAGTCATTCTAAGGGAATCCCAGGTTTGGACCTGGCCAGCGTCTATACCAGTATTTAATAAAGCTTGCCTTCAAATCTGGCTCAGAAATTACGGTCGTGGTCTTATTCTTGCCAGGCGGGATTTACAGTTGGTGGGACACCCTCTTTACCTGTGTAGCTGGCCAGCATCGGTAAATGCACAAAGATGCGCCCATTGCTCCCCTCTCCAAGGAGCTTTTGTACCTGATTTCTGTATAGACCCTCTAAACAGGGAGGAGGTCAGCTCGCGGCCAGTCTCATCCTGGTGATCCCGGATGTTGAGCCAAGAGGGCACCCAGCATCGCCTGGTCGCTGCAGTTTATGCAATGCTGGGTGTGGTCCCTCAAGACTCACACCCAGCTTGCTTCCTTCTCTCGTCTGCTTTATCAGTGTCCCTCCTAACTTTCTGCGAGCTCTCTGTTGCCTGGGATAGCTCTCTCTCTCTCTGCAAGTTCTGCCGCTGACATTTTCCAAGTCTTAACCCTGCCCTCCCCGCAAATCATCTCCCTTGGACTCTGACCAAGCCCCTCCCACATTTCCAGTGGGCTTGTTGTGGTCCAGCCTCATCTTATCTGGCTGCCTGTCATTCTCGGAGAGCCTCTAGGGGGAGCGATCAACTCCCTAACTTCCCCGTCGCCGCCCTCCAGGAGAGGCGATCAACTCCCTAACTTCCCATTGCCGCCCTCCAGGAGGAGCTATCAACCCCCTAACTTTCCCGACGCTGCCCTCCAGGGAAGCTATCAACTCCCTAACTTCCCGACGCTGCCCTCCAGGGGGGCGATCAACTCCCTAACTTCCCCATCGACGCCCTCCAGGGGGAGCTATCAACTCCCTAACTTTCCCGACGCTGCCCTCCAGGGAAGCTATCAACTCCCTAACTTCCCGACGCTGCCCTCCAGGGGGAGCGATCAACTCCCTAACTTCCCTGACGCTGTGCCTCGCCTCCTGACTTCTCACACCATCTGCTCCTCTGTCCGTCCTTGGCCCAATACCTGCTAATCATTTTGACTGACTTCTGCCCTCCTTCCCTTCTGTAGATCTAATTAGCCACAGGGTCAAATGGCTTCCGTCTCTTCCTCCATCCACCTAGAATGCGCCAGGTCCTGGGGACAGAAGGGAAGAGCCCTTCCCTAAGAGTCCTCAGTGTTGGACTGAGTGGCCTGGCCGCTAGGGGGTAGGGTGGGTGGACTACTGGGTTGGTTTCCAGCACGCATGCATGTTCCTTGCTGGTAACTGGATTATCACCCGCCCGACACCACCACCACCACGGTTCTGGCAGATTTTCATGTTTCGTTTGTCTGAGACAGGGTCCCAAGCAGCCCAGATTGGCCTCTGGCTAGCTATGAAGCTGAGGATGACCTTTGAACTCCTGATCCTCCCACTTCTACCTCCCAAGTGCAGAAGATGACAAACGTGTGCCACCACACCCAGCTGTTCAGAGTCTTCCTACTTTTTTAGAAGTTGAAACTCCTATCTCCAGCCTCCCCTACGGAGCCGGAGCCGCCTCTGGAGTCAGCGCAGCGGAGTCACGCCCAGGCTGGGAAAATCCTGAGGTTTTTATCATCTCTCCTGATGGAGACTCACTTACCATCTCCAAACTAGATGGTCACCGTGGCACCCGGGAGAGGCAGGAAGGGTGTCACAACTTGGCAGGTTCAGGCTAGGCCAGCCAGGGCTATTAGTGAGACCTTGTCACAAAACTAAACTAAACTAAACTAAACTAAATTAAACAACTAAACTAAATTAATTAAAGATCTCAAAGAGCTGATGCCCTGGAGTTCGTTTCTCCTGGGACTTGGCAGGCTCAATTCAACTTTTGTTTGCTTTGTATTAATGACTCTGTCTTTTTTTTTTCCTTGTCAGATAATAAAAATTAAATTTGTTGACATGCCTGAATGCATGGTAGATGGTTTTGATCCCTAGGCAGGAGGTAAAACAGTGTGGGATTTCCTTAAGGGAGCCCAGATCAGAGCCCAGCCCTCCTCTGCCCTCCCATGCCCCTTCCCAGAATGCACTTGAACGCACACGACTGAATTTCCCCGTTTTGGGCTCCCTTCCCTGAAAGGTCAAGGAGAGAGATGGAAGCAGTCACCAGGCCAGTCATTCTGTCAGAGGTGACATACTGCAGGTTGGACCTGAATTTCTTGCATCTAATTGCCATGCTGATGCATCCACCTATAAAATTACAGAGCGGCTCATCCAGGGGCCCTGTATCTGTTGCAAGTCCGAGAAGCTCTCCCTCCCTGTGGGCTCCGGCAGCTGCCTGCTGGGCTCTGAGGACCAGCTTCTCCTACCATTTCCTGGGCCCATCTCTTGGACGACAGCTCCAATGGCGGCCCTCACAGACTTCGCTTTCATGTACCGCTGGTTCAAAAATTGCAACCTGGTTCGAAACCTCTCAGAGAAGTATGTCTTCATCACGGGCTGTGACTCTGGCTTTGGGAACCTGTTGGCCAGACAGCTGGTTGATCGGGGCATGAGAGTGCTGGCTGCTTGCCTCACTGAGGAGGGGGCCCAGAAACTCCAGCAGGACACCTCTTACCAGCTGCAGACCATCCTCCTGGATGTCACCAAGACTGAGAGCATCAAAGCGGCAGCCCAGTGGGTGAGGGACCAAGTGGGCGAGCAAGGTGGGGTGAACTGCATTCTTCAACATTCTCTCTCTCTCTCTCTCTCTCTCTCTCTCTCTCTCTCTCTCTCTCTCTCTCTTTCTCTCTCACCCCCTCAAGTAGTTAAAGGGGC